ACGGCACTCAACCGAACTTTTTCCTCCTTTCAATACCAAAGTAAATCTTTATTTTTACTTCTATATAATTTGCTTTCTACTTATAAAATAAAATAAAATACCATATTTTGATTTTATGACTCAAACCTTAGCTTTTTTTACCCAGCCGAAATCACTCTGGCGGTCATTTTTGTCGATTAATCCTCGTGTCTCATGATCGTGCAAAAATGACATCATTTAATTCTACCGAAGCCTTTGATCTGGACTTAGATATTGTTATTTCAGACCTAACAAAAGGATTTTTTGAGTGTCAATTTAGAGGGCTTGTAAACAGCTGTAAATGGTTAGCTGACTTGATAGATGCCGTTGTCAAACACAATTATCCCTCTGACAAAAATTATCAAAAAGGGCAAACGTTACTGCACTCTTCATCAATAAATGTTTTGAACTCCGTAATCTCTCGCTTTACACCTTTGCAGTTGTCATCATATTTTTTGGCTCGCAGTTTGCTAGAAAATAAGGAGTATGAAAGATGTGCACATGTTGTATCAGCCCTAATAGTACCTTTCGTCGGGGGTACGCAACAATGGTCCCCTGATATAAACGACAATCTCATATACTTCATTTATGTTTATGCTCGATTGATGGCAAATGAAAAAAGAAAGATCAATGATCAAATTGGATTAAAACAGGCCTACGGCGTGGATGTGGAGGGGCTCACTCTCGGTCAATGGAGCCAATCTCAGTACAGAAATTCTCTAAATTCTTTGAAACATGAACTGGAAAATTATATACGATATCATAGCCAGGGTGGAGCAATGATGTCAGATAATTTGGATCCCTATATTCTTTACGTGTATTCTCTTGTTCTACGAAAGCTTCACTGTGAAGAAATGGCAGTAATAACCTTATGCCACATCCTTAGTTTAGACCACTCTTGTTGGCCTGCCTGGTCTGAGCTTGCTGAACTCGCAAAGGATCGTGACCACCTAAAGAAATTTAAACTCCCTTACATAATTTCAGCTTCCTGCTGGGCTCAGCTATTTTTTGAGGCTAAGGTATGTTGGCTTGTCCTTATCAATTTAAGATGAATCTTAATTTACATGAGCGTGAAAAGGCGCTGGAAATACTTACTCGCTTATACAATACTGGTTTTGATATGAGTCTCAATTTGCGAACCGACATTGCATTAGCGCACGAAGGTATGAGAGACATGGAAAATGCCGAAAAACACTTTAGAAAGGTATTCATACGTTTTAATGCTGATAAATTTTGGAATTTAACAACTTATAGGTATTTGAGCTTGATCCATTTCGCCTGGAAGATGTTGATGTCTATTCCAACACCCTCTTTGTGCGTGAGGAACATGCTGAATTAGCTCGCTTAGCCCACCATTGTATTAGTGTAAATCGTTATCTTCCACAAACGTGCTGCGTTGTGGGAAATTTTCACAGCCTTCGAGGCCATCATAAAAAGGCAGTGCTCTATTTTCAGCGTGCTTTGACGCTAAAGCCATCTTATGCCCTCGTATGGACTCTAGTAGGCAAGTCTCTTCGTTTGTCATTGATTGATTTTTTTTTATTTCTTAAGTTGACTACAAGCTACCATTTTTTAGGTCACGAGTATATGGAGCTCAAAAATACCAATGCTGCTGTGCACGCATATAATCAAGCAGTTGCTCATAATAAGCGAGATTTTCGCGCCTGGTATGGACTAGGCCAAATGTACGAGATGCTAAATATGCCTTCCTTTGCATTATATTACTACCGGTAAGTTGTACGCCTTTTTAACATGTATGGCCATTATCTTAATATATAGTTACTATGGCTTTTTCACTTGTATTTTTAAACTTTTTGTGTTTTATTAAATAGCATGTCGGTTTTAAACTTTCTGTTTTAAGATTTTGATGTGTCTCCGTTTATTGGTTTTATATTTTCCCCTATTCTATCCGGTATGTGATTAATTTCTTTACGTCCGTTAAGCTAATATATTGCCTC